AACAAGTTTATGATCCAAGAGAATAAAAGAGATGCCAAAATAAAGTCAAGAAGAAATTTCGAACAAATCTTCTATCTCTCTTGAAAGCTTGGGATCTTGCGCTTCTTTTCTCCTTCTCCCGCCCCCCCCCCCCCCCCCCCAAAAAGCTGCCATATGGCGAGTGTGGCCAAAAGTCCTTTCACAAATATTCAGAAGTCCTTTTATATCACTGAGTAGCCTTAGGAAATAAGGCCAAGCGAAATAAGCTTATTGAGTCATGCATTGCAGTGCACAGGAATATACTGCTGCAGTGCCATAATTCAGATCCACTATTGCAGCGCACAGAATTTTCCCGCTACAACGCCAGTTGCTGGTTTTGACTCAACATCCCAAAGTAATTCACCAACAAATGTCTTCTCCACTTCTTGCGTCTTCTTTTGCTAGAATCTTGTGTATTTCCTCCTTGTTTCCTTCATTGGATAACTATCATCAAAATAACAAAACAAATTGAGGAATCACACCGGTAACCATCAAAACTCAACAGTTCAAGCATGAAACAAGGCATAAATACGTACAAAATTGCGACTCATCACTCCCTGCTACAGGCATCTAGCCAAATCTAAAGTCCAGTGTAAATCTTATGTATGTAGAAACCTTGCTTCTCTTCATGGTCTCTTTCTAGAAAGAAACCCCATATGCGCTGGTAACCTCATTTGTGAATCTCCAGTGTCCAATGCATCCACATTTCGTTGCGATAATTCTCCTTCATCCAACCCATTTCTGATTCACAAATCTCCTCATAAATTTACCTAAGAGGGCTTGTTTAAAAACTAGAAACTAACAGGTACCGACCTGCCAGAGGCAATAGGAGCCATGCCTTCTTCCATCCAACTAACTACTAAGTTGATGTTCATCCCTCTTCTTCCCGAAGAAATTCCCCCATTGACTTCTCTCATTCCAAAGTGACTGGAGATGCGATTGAGAACCAAAGCATATAATTTTTGGCAATGTTGGATAAGATAGACTTCATGCGAGTTACTTTGCCTCCTTATTGTAAGTATGGCCTTTGCCATCCTTTCCACCTTTTGTTATGTCTCTCTATCACTCTATCATCGCTAGGTTAACTAGTCTCGTAAAGGGATTTCTAAGTATATTCTAGGTAAAGTAGCCATATAGCAGTCACGTAGTTCAGCGAGATTGTTGGACAATTTTAACCAACCAGCTGGAATCGATTCAAACTTTCTTACATTGATGCATAGTTAACTGCTTCAATTTACACCAAGATCTTGAAATCAGATCTCTCATATATTTGCAGCATCAAGTTAGGTGTTGTACGCAAACAAGAGATGCAGAACAAATATGTTTTCTCCCACTCGGAAATTATTTTAAAAATTCGTGCCATATGTTTTTGAAACAACTTGCAAAGTGCTTTCATAATAATATGGAGTTAGAGTAGAGAGATGGGATTTCCTTCACTTCTGTCGAAAAAAGTGAAAGCAATTCGATAAATTATGATGGATGACCTTACTCTAGAAATGAAGAATGAGGATTTCCGACAACAATTCAATCGTTTATGTGAGAAAGTACGAGAGAAAATATTATTGATGTATTAATTATAATACAACGAGCCTTATTTATAACTATACATATCCTATTCCTATTCAATGTGGGACTCGGACTAACTACATATTAATTACATAACTATCTAACGCTCCCCCTCAAGCCAGTGCATACTAATCACATGTACCGAGCTTGTTACATATGTAACTAATACGAGGATCAGTGAGGGATTTGGTGAAAATATCTGCAACCTGATCATTTGACTTCACAAACTTTGTAGCAATATTTCCTGAGAGTATCCTTTCTCTGACGAAGTGATAGTCAATCTCAATGTGTTTAGTTTTCTCATGGAACTTCATATTCGATGCAATACGAAAGACAACTTGATTATCACACACATGTTCTATTTGGCTGATCTCACCAAATGTCAACTCCTTGAGCAACTGTTTGATCCAAGTTAGCTTATATGTTGCCATAGCCATTGCTCAATAATTTGCTTTTGCACTAGATCGAGCAACTACATTTTGTTTCTTACTCTTCCGGGATACCAAATTGCATCCTACTAAAACACAATATCCAGACGTAGACTGCCTATCAGAAGGTGATCCTGCCCAATCAGCATCTGAGTATCCAACGATCTGCTCATGGCATCGATCCTCAAACAATAATCCTTTGCATGGAGCTGATTTTATATACCGAAGAATGCGAACAACTGCATCCCAATGAGAATCCATAAATTGACTCAACACTCACAGGAAAGGAAGTGTCAGGTCTAGTCATTGTGAGGCAATTTAATTTACCAACCAACCGCCTATATCTTGCAGGATCGCTAAGCGGCTCCCTTTGTCTCGGCAGAAGTTTTGAATTCAGATCCATAAGATTGTTAACAGGTCGTAGACCTTCAAAAATGTTTAAGGCATATTTCCGTTGTGAGATCACAATACCTGAGCTGGACTGAGCAACCTCAATACCCAGGGGATACTTTAATCTGCCCAAATCCTTAGTCTGAAAGTGCTGAAAGAGATGCTGCTTCAACATAGTTACCATCCTGAGTATTGCCGGTAATAACAATATCGTCGACATAAACCACTAGATAAATACAGAGATTTGAAGCAGATTACCGATAAAACACAAAGTGATCAGCTTCAGTACGAGTCATGCCAAACTCTTGAATAACTGTGCTCAACTTACCAAACCAGGCTCGCGGAGACTACTTCAGACCTTAGAGTGATCGGCGCGACTGACATACTTAGCCACTAGACTCCGCCTAAGCAATAAAAGCAGGTGGTTGCTCCGTATAAACTTCATCCTCAAGGTTACCGTGAAGAAAAATATTCTTAATGTCCAATTGATAGAGAGGCCAGTGGCAAATAACAACCATGGGTAGAAAAAGGCGGACTGACCTATTTTAGCCACGGGAGAGAAAGTATCACTATAATCGAGTCAAAATATCTGAGTATACACTTTGTCAACAAGACGAGCCTTAAGTCGCTCAAGATGACCGTAGAGAAAAACATTCTTATTGTCTAACTGATAAAGAGGCCAATGACGTACAACAACCATGGACAAAAAGAGACGAACATATGCCTGGGTTTTTATCAGTTTTTGGACTTGCCTGGGTGATGCCAAACAGTATCAAGGAAGCTTACGAGAGTTGGTGTTCTTGGAGAGTTGGGAAATCCATCAAAAAGACTTGGTCAATGGTACCTGGTGCTATTTTTTGGAGTATTTGGAATGAAAGGAACCGTAGATGTTTTGATAGGATTTCAACTCCCAACCACGCTCTTAAAGCCACTTGTTTAATTAACTTATTTAGTTGGTTCAACCAGACCCTAACTAGTGTTGAACTATTTCTGGATTTTGTCTGCTCCTTAGTTGTCCTGTAAGTTTTTGTATATGAGCAGACAATACCTTTATGTTGTAATTTTTTGCTATGCATCTTCTTGATGCCATTTAATGAAATTCCCTTACTTCTTCAAAAAAAAAAGAGACGAACACATGCTACTTTAGGCACAGGAGAGAAAATGTCACTATAATCAAGCCAAAAATCTAAGTGTATCCTTTTGCAACAAGATGAGCCTTAAGCTGATCAACCTAATCATCTGAGCCGACTTTGGCTGTATAAACCCAACAACAACCAATAGTAGACTTTCTTGAAGGAAGAGGAACAAGCTCCCAAGTGCCACTCGCATGTAAAGCAGACATCTCGTCAATCATAGTCTGTCACCATCCTGGATGAGATAGTTCCTCACATGTAGACTTAGGGATTGAAACAGTGGACAAAGATGATATAAAAACATAATGAGTGATGACAGACGATGATAACTTAAATCGACATAATGAGGATTAGGATTAAGTGTGGATCCCTACACCTTTGCGGAGTGCAATTGGCTGACTAAGAGGAGACAAGTCCTTAGTAGGTGCAGAATCTGATGCAGGACGTGAATCACCTGGCCCTGATGCTGGACGTGGACGACGATGATAAGTCAAGAGTGGTGGAGCTGCAGAAGGTTGAACTGGACTAGGTGGTGGAACTTGAGTTATAGGTGGTGGAACTGGAGCTATAGGTGTTGGAGCTGCAATTGGAGCTGTAGGTGGCGGAGTTGGAGTTGTAGAGGAAGATGAAGGGAGATAGTGACTGAATCTCCAAAGGATGAAATTGGTAGCACCTCAGAAATATCTAAGTGATTACCTGGACCTGTGAAGTATGATTGGGTTTCAAAGAAGGTAACCTCAGCAGACATAAGGTACAGCTGGAGGTCAGGAGAATAGCATAGATACCCCTTTTGTGTTCTCGAGTAAACCATAAATACGCACTTAAGAGCACGAGGAGCTAACTTATCTTTTCCTGGAGTAAGGTTATGACCAAAACACGTGCTTCCAAAGACACGGGGTGGAAGAGAGAAAAAAGGTAAGTGGGGAAACAGGACAGAGAATGGATCTTGATTCTGGATAGCTGAAGATGACATACGATTAATAAGATAGCAAGATGTAAGAACTTCATCCCTCAAAAAACGCAACGGAACATGAGATTGTATGAGTAGGGTACGAGCTGTTTCAATAAGATGTCTATTCTTTCTTTCAGCTACCCTATTTTGTTGAGATGTGTACGGACAAGATGTTTGATGAATAATCCCATGAGAGTTTATAAACTGCTGAAATGGAAAGGACAAATACTCTAGGGCATTATCACTACAAAATGTGCGGATAGAAACCCCAAATTGATTTTGAATTTCAGTGTGGAAGGTCTGGAAAATAGAAAACAACTCAGATCGATTTTTTTCATCAAAATTATCCAAGTCCGGAATAATCATCAATGAAACTGACAAAGTAGCGTAATCCCAAGGTAGAACTGACCCGACTAGGACCCCAAACATGTGAATAGACTAAAGTAAAAGGTGACTCTGCTCGATTATCAAGACACAGAGGGAAATTGGAGCGGGTATGCTTACCGAGCTGACATGGCTCACATTCTAGAGTGGACAAGTGAGATAAACCAGGTATCATTTTTTGAAGTTTTGGCAAACTGGGATGTCCCAACCGTTTATGTAATAAATCTGGTGAATCGGTAACAGGACAAGTTGAAGGGAGACAAGATGTGAGTCCATGTGATTTTGCAGGGATAAGGTAATAAAGTCCATCTGATTCACACTTGGTACCAATGATCCACCCTGTACTGCATTCCTGTAACAAGGTCATCAAGAAAGAAAACAGAGCATTTAAGTGATTTGGCTAAGCGACTAACAACTATGAGATTAAAATGACTACCTGGAACATAAAGAACTAAATCTAAAGGTAAGGAAGGAAGTGGACTTGCTTGACCTATTCCAGTTGTCGTGGTTTGAGACCCGTTGGCCATGGAGAGATTGAGAACATGAAATAGTAGTGAAAAGAGATTTGTTACCAGAAATATGATCAGATGCACATGAATCAATGACCCAAGACTTGGAAATGAAGATTGGGAGACACAAGTCACGCTACTATCTGTTTGAACGGAGGCTATCCCTAAAGATGTCTGTTTACACGCTTTGTACTGAAGGAACTCAATATAATCCGATAGAGAAACTATCCAACCATTCATACTATTGGATCCCATTTCGCTACAATTTATCTCTCAAAATCTTTGACTAAAAGTAGTAGGGTTAACTTGAAATAGTGGAAATGAGTAACTCCTACGGGAAAACTGAAGAAATAGCTGGGAAAACACTGTTCACAGAAGAAAATCAAAACACTATTTTACGTCGGAAGCACTGTTCACGCCGGAAAACACTGTAGTTCGCCGAAAAATTCCAAAGTTGTCGGGATTTGTCGGGGATAGCACTGGTCGACTCGAAATTGCTGTGCGAGTAAGCTTTCCTGAAGGAAGTTCGTCGGAATCTGGCTGTAAGGGGTCTCACGCGCCCGGCGCGTGCACAGATCTTGCTGGAAAATTTGGAGTCTGCCCGGCGCGTGAGGGCGCGTGTGTATGAGTTTTCCGGTGGGATTTTCTGGGGTTTGGTCGCGGGACTACGGCGGACCTTGTGGTGGTGTTGGTTTGTTCACAACACTGATAAATAGTGACTTTGACGCAAGCAGTCACTTAGGCAACCGGAAAATTACACGGTGACTGAGTTCTTTCTTTCCGGATGTCGTTGGAATGACGCACAACGATCTTTTCTCACCGAAGCTCCGGTACCATGTGAGAAAGCATGGGAGAAAATATTATTGATTATCTAAAGTGTTGTACAACGCCCTATTTATGTACAGTGATTACATAATAATAGGTATCTATTTTCCGATGTGGAACACTATACATGACTAACTACTTAACAAAACTATTGTATTTAACAGTTCTAACATTTTGCTCCCCTTAAGCATTTCAAGTTTGCTCTGGTTTCTTCATCACACCCTTCACTACCATACTAGGTCTTGATTCTCATTGGCGTGTTGGGAGATTTTTATATTAACTGCATACCCCTCCTTCCTTGGATCCTTCCCCTCTCTATACTTCTCATTTCATATTCACCTTGAAGACTACTCTTCTCAGTTCAGCCTCCTTTTTCGCAAGTTCTTGTTGCTTTTCTACTTCATGGTTACCTCCCAGTTAGCCTACCTGCTCGCAATTCTATGTCCTTAGGTCTATGCGTTCAAGTTCAACTCAAAACCTTCGTACCAGACCCCAAAGTTTTTGAAAGCTAATGCTTTCTTTGGCCCTTACGGAACATCCTGGAAGAGCAATTATGATATTGCCTTCTTCATTGGGCTCACTACTCATATTGTCATTAACGATATGATAATTCGATACCCATAGACTAGTCCTTTCGTACTCTTAAAGAAAAAGAACTAGTCACTGCGTAAATATTAGATAGTAAAGAAGAGTTTTAACTTGTATATTAGCTCCAAAATCTAGTTGTTAACCAAGAAATTATTTGTTGGCATGAGTTAGAAGATTCCCCTTACAAGCTAGCTAAACTGAAGGGAGGGACTATAAAGGGCAGCCCGGGGGCTATGCGCGGGGTTCGGGGAAGGGCCGGATCACAAGGGTCTATTGTACACAGCCTTACCCTACATTTCTGCTAGAGGTTGTTTCCATAGCTCGAACCCATGACCTCCTGGTCACACGACAACAACTTTACCAGTTATTTATCTTAACGTTTATTCATCGATCTCTCTTGGTTTGAGAATATGTGCATAAAATTATGGATAGAAGAATACAATATGTAATCAGGTTTGGTTATGTGTTTGTATGCTTTAGAAGCAGTAAAACTGGAGCCCTAAGATCTAGACCACTGCATAATTAGTTGTATCTTAAATGCGTGTCAGAAAATGTGTCATTCGGTATTTGAAATCATTGTATGGAATCACAATTGATGGAATTTCCTCTTTTTTTTTTTTTTAAATCAAGTATATTTTTATTGATAATGAGAAAGCTCCCATATACAAGACACATACCAAAAAGTTGGCTTTCACCCGGGAGACACATATCAAAAAGTAGAGAACCTACGTAAAGATATGATTCTATACAAATATACCTAGGCTTCTATTCACCAACAAGACATTAAAAACAGGAGGCTATTCCTCAGATGTACACTTGTAGGAAAGATTAGATCTACAGAAGTGCTTTTTCTTTCACCAGACAAATTGTCAAATGCCTCAAATGCTTGTTTTGTCACTTCTCCCTAGTAAGCTCACACGCTCAAGTTTCAACCTTTAAGTTTTAGGCCCTTAGTTGCTCTTTCCAATAATAGCGAGAGAAATGACAGAGTATTTTCAAGGATCATCTTGACATGTTATTTGCAAGTTCATGCTTGGTCTTGTGCTTTCTCTATCTTTATGTGACTGTCTCTTCTATTTTTGCTTTATTTGACTCAAGATCGTTTGGATATGTGTTGGTAATCTCTCTTGATAGAATCATCTAGGACTTGTTGCTTTCTTTTGTTTTGACTTGTCGAAGTACTAAATACAGAAATGCTTCAGAGGTAGAAAGGTGGTGGAAGCTGAGCGTTCTAAAGTTCGTGAGAATTTCTTAAAAACTTATGGGGATCGCTGCCACCGTGTTGACAGGTTTGCTTATATGGCTTTTATGTTATCTTGAGTATTTTGCTTTAGATGCAATGTCCTTCCCCCTGTTGGGTCATGTAATTGGGTACTCTGATAATTTCTTAATGCTTATCCCATGAAGTTGTATGAGTTTCTTTCCAGAATCTTTTGGTGATTAGCCTTTTTTTTTTGGCCCATGTGTCTCAGGCAATGTTTCGGTCCAGATTCAGATTTTCTGTGTCAGCTACTTTTCTTTTTCAATCCAACATACACTACTGATGTTTCTATCCTCGTGGAGACATGCCGATCGCTACTGGAGCTTGTTCGAGATAGCGGTTTGTTCCTCTTATTGTGTAATTTCATGTAGGCCGTAATTTATGTAGCTGCATATTGAGTGACTTCATTTATCTTGATTCTGAAGCTCTTTGTTTCTTGTTTGATTCTGGTTTTGTCCACCAATTAGAGATGATTCATGTATGGCTTTATGAGGGTACGCAGACTTCACCCCTACCTTGTGAAGGTAGAGAGGCTGTTTCCGATAGACCCTTGGCTCAAGAAAAGCATGCAAAGAGAAGAATCCATGTAAAGAGAAGCAACAACGATAATCAAAAAATAAAATAACTGAAGCAAAAGAAACGTTGTCCGATTCTTCTCCCGCCTTTGACCCCAAGTTCTTCATAGAAGCGTTGAAACGCTGCTGTTTTTGCCGCTGTGCCTGCTAACTTCGCCACCTTATACCTCTATCTATGTGTCCGCTTATCCTCCCCGTCGTTGCTTTCCACTAACCTCATGTAAGACTTCCACTTTTCTTTGGACCTCTACGTTCCACCACCAATCCCCCCGATGATCACCAGCGTTACCCCTCAAGGCCCCTAGCACATCTCTAGTGGCTTCTCTAATGCAACTAGCTGTCCTCTCCCACATACTGGTTGCATCCCCACTACTCCTTCAAGCCCCCATCGCCATCAACTTCTCCCCTAACTCCTAGCTCTGGCAGTGGTCAAGCCACCCAATTTGATCCTCGGGCCTGATGCACAAGGCCTTCTTATGCCTCTTCCTCTTAATTTTCAAATCCATCGCCAAGAGCTTATGTTGGGTGGTTACATTCTTACTCAGGATAACCTTGCGATCCTTAAAGAGAACTCTATCTGCCTTCCTAAGCAGTAAGTAATCAATCTGAGTCCTAGTCACCGAACTACGGAAGGTTACTAGGTGCTCCTCCCTTTTCGAGAAACTCGAATTAGGTATCACCAACTCAAAAGTCACCGCGAAATCCAAAAGGCAAACTCCACCTTCGTTTCTATCCCCAAAGCCAAACCTCTATGGGCCGCATCATAACCCCCTGTAGTAGTCCTTATGTGACCATTGAAGTTCCCTCATATGAATAGCTTCTTAGTTTGCGGTATATCTCTCACAACCTCATCCATATCCTCCCAAAAACGCCTCTTGACCTCCTCTCCTAAGTCCGCTTGAGGTGCATAAGCACTAATTATGCTCAAAGTAAGCCCTCCAATGCCTAACTTAATCATCATCATCATGTCGTTCACCCTCCTAACCTCTACCACCTCCTCCTTAAGTTCTCTATCAACTAGAATGCCTACTCCATTCCTATTCCTCGAACCTCCTGAGTACCACAACTTAACCCCACCTGCATCACGTGCCTTAGTCCCTACCCATTTGGTTTCTTGGACACAAGCTAGATTAATCTTTCTTTTCTTGAGAATCTTTACCAACTCTATATACTTTCCCGTCAATGTCGCTATGTTCCAAGACCCATCTCTCAACCTGGAAGCTCCCTTAACCCACTTGCCACTCCTTACCCTCCCTCCGACCCCAACCGAGGACATGACCTTAGTCTACCATCACTCACCAGAGCCACTACGACAAGTATAAACTAAGTAGGGTATACCACAAATGTCAATAAAACAAGCAACAATAGTAGAGTTAAAGCAAGGGAAGTGCGACTAGGAACAAGACTATACTGGCAAGCACAATGTGATTTTGAAGAGCACAAGAATCAATATTAAAGGACAGGCTAAATATTTAGAACACGACAAGGAACAAACAAATGGAACCCAACAGATATTAAGGAACACAAAACCGTATTAGGGGGCACAATATAGCAAAGCAAAAGGAACGGTAGAACCTGGTTTTGTATGCGAAGGAGTTCCAGTCGCCAGAAATAATGGACCTTGTCAGGAAGCTGACCGGAGTTACTGGATCGAGCCGGAAATCGATCGGCCCTGTCCCCTGTGCGTCGGTGTGATAGCATGGATCCCCCCACACACCAAAAGAGGGTGAAAGAGGGAGAGAGAGGAAAAAGAAACTGGGTGGTGTGACCGTAGACGACGCTGGTACGGTCGCGAGCAGTGGGGGCAGTACGTGTAGCGATTGGAAGAACAAGAAGAAAAATAAAAGGAGGGGAGAGAAGAAGAGAGCGATGGATGAGAGAGGAGGTTCGGCCGCCGGCTGTGGAGTTACCGTTAGCGAAACGAAGAGAGAGAGTGTGTGTGGCTGAGAGAGAGAGAGACCTGTAGGCCAAAACTCGTAAAGACAAATATTATCACTTCACATCATGTGGGTTAGAAGATCTACTAAACTATATGACTATTTTCAAATTCTAGAATTCAAGCTGCATCACTGCAAATGAATGCTTGCTTAAAAATGTCTTGGGCTTTGATGTAATGTTGAATCATGTCTCCTTGTGTTGGTGCCATGGTTTTAGTAGTTCCTGATACTTTAGGTACTGAATGTCCACTGTAATGGCGTTGAATAGTATTATTAGGTATCTCTTGCTTTCGTATTCCTGAGATCTTTATTCATGGGAAATAATTGATATCATTGTCGTCTAGTAAAAGTCAACTGCATGTTTAATGACTCAGCAAAATTTTTCTTTTGCCAGCTTTTATGGTAGTGTGGTACTGTCAAAATTCATTATTTAAATTAAATATCTGATTCTTTTGAATTACACAATTGAGCTTGTTTTTTAAGTGCATGTTTTATGCGTAGCATCCGCTTGTTCAAGTTTAACTGCGTTACAAAGACTATTTTTTTTTTTTTGTTGAGAATGGTAACTTGTATATATATTAAATAAGACTAAAAGACAGCACAAAAGCAGTGCCAAGTTATACTTACAAAAAGAGCAGACCCCAGCTATGTTAACCTAAGGTTACAAAGCACCTGTCATATCTACTAAAGATCTGCCTCCTCTACAAAAGCTTTCTTTACACCAGAAATGAAACAAAATGAAACAATTCATTTTAATATTCTGTAAGGAGTTGCTTCTGTCTTCACAAATTCTTGAATTTCTCTCCTTTCAGACTGTCCACCATATGCAAGTATGAACCAATCTCCACCATTTCTTCTGTCTCACTATACCCCCATGTTAATTCCAACACGTCAACAGATCACAAGTGTTTTCTGGCATACTCCATTTTAGGCCTACAATATTGAAAAAAAGTTGCCATAGTTGGTCAGTGATAGGACAGTAAAGAAACAAATGGCTATTGGTTCCTGTAGCTGTACCACAAAGTGAGCATTTAGAGCATAAATGGAAGCTACTCCTCAATTTATCTTGTGTTGGACATGCTTCTCTTGCCATTAACCATGAAAAACAGACCACCTGAGAGATTTCTTAACTTTCCAGATTTGCCTCCGGGGCCAATGTTCTATATGCTGGTTTGAATTAGAGGCAACAAGATAAACAGATATAACAGTGTAGGTCTCATCCCCGTTTAGGTTCCAGTTCAGTGTATCTTCAGAATCACTGAAACCTTGAAAAACTTACAAGGTCTTGTAGAACTCCAAGCTTTCTCAAGCTCCCAGTCACTCAAAAACCTCCTGAAAATAACATTCCATCCTTGCTGTCCCCATGTTGTATCTAACCTTGCTTCTTTTGATGTTGCTATGTTGAACAGATTAGGGAATAATTCTCTAAGAGGACCATGTCCTAACCAATCCTCACTCCAAAAATTTTCCTTCCATTACCTACCTTGATGGTGGAATGAGCAGCCATAAAATTCCAGTGCAGACAGATAGACTTCCAAACCTCAACCCCATAAGGACTGTTGCCAATTTTTGCGCACCAATGACCCTCTTGTCCATAGTTGTCATGACTGGCCCTTCTCCACAAGGCATTAACCTCCAGATTATACCTCCATAGCCACTTCATAAGTAAGCTTTGGTTATGAGCTTTGAGGTTTCTGATGCCGAGACCTACATTGATTCTTTTGGTGATAAGAGAATTCCAGTTAACCAAGTGAATAGCTTTTTTATCTTGGTTCCCTTGCCATGTGAAATCTCTCCTCAAGGTATCGATTCTTTTCCTCACCTTGCAGGGTAAAGGAAACAGGGACATCACATATGTAGGCAATGCATCTAAAAAATTGTTCACCAATGTTACTCTTCCTCCTAGGGATAAATACTGCCTCTTCCAGATTGCCAACCTCTTTTCATATCTTTCAATTACCCCATTCATATTTCCTGAGCTTTGTATTTGAAACCCAAGTATAATCCCAAATAAGTAGTTGGTAAAGAGCCCACCTTACATGCTAGAATAGCTGCTAGCACCTGAACATTTTCAACCTCTTTGACTGGAAAAAGCATGCTCTTTTTCCCGTTAACATGGAGCCCTGAAAATGCTTCAAAAATAACCAGGATGGTCCTTAGGTATTTTAACTGATCTGCATCAGCATTGCGGAATACCAAAGAACCATTTGCATAGAGAAGGTGGCCCCCAGGGCCTAGCTCCAGTGGCAAAGGGTGGTGGATTTGTGTCTTAGGTCACAGGTTCAAGCCCTCACACCATGCAAAGCAAAGCCTGGTATTTAAGTGGAGAAGGGTAGAGGGGCGGGCCCATTATCCACTGCGTTTCGAAGGTTGCGGTTGGTCCAAAGGATCGGCCCCAGACGGATTTCTCGGTCATCTAAAAAAAAAAAATAGAGAAGGTGGGTGATCTCTATGTTGCTTCCCCCCTGTTTGAAGCTTTAAATCCCTTCAGCCAACCATTGCCTTTGGCATCCCTTAATATTTGGTTCAATTCTTCCATTGCAACTAGAAAGAGGAAGGGAGGTAAAGGATATCCTTTCCTCAGGCCTTTCTCTGAAGAAAGAAACCCTCAGGTAAACCATTTACTAGGATGGAGAATCTCACAGTTTTGATGCAGAAGAAATCCAGTTGATTCACTTACTCCCAAAACCCATGTCCTCTAAAACTTTTAGGAGAGAGTTCCAGTTGACATGGTTGTAAGCCTTCTCTGTGAGAATGCACGGGAGAAAATATTATTGATTAATTAACAATGATACAATGAGCCCTATATATATATAATACATGTCCT